AACTGTAAGAAAGATCTCTTATCCCTTGAGTCTACATGGAGGGACCTTGAGAGTATTATCCTAAGTGAAACAAGGCAAGCAGAGAAAGACAAATATCACATGAGCTCACTTATTTGTGGAATATAATGAACATAACAGTCTGAGGAACGGGGTAGTTCCTGAGACGTGGAAGTGGGGTACAGACTGTCAATCCCCAGCAGAGGGGGTGGGGGATAGATAAACCACAGAACTTGTATGCATGTGGATATGGACAACAAAGCTGGGGACAGGGTGGGGACAGTGGAGGAAAGAGAAGAAACATTTGTAACAAAAATAAATGAATTAATTTATTTAAAATAAAATAAAATAAAAAAAATATTAAAAAAAGAATAACAGGAAATTTTACCTAAATTTGTAATTTTCTATTTATTTAATGAAATCTGAAGCTTTTGGTAATAAAGAATGGGAGTATTATATTACTCTTCTTTTCTGAATGTTATAGTTCATTTAATTTTTTTTTAAATGGTAATTGAAGTGATAATGAAGTGAGAATACTTTTCTGGTGTTTTTTATTACATAAGAGTTTCTATCCTTATTCTGTCCTTATTTCCAGAGTAATTTTTAGTTTCAAAGATTTTCTTTACAGTTGAATACTTTGAAGTAGTTTATAAATGACAACATACTCTAAAAGAGTCAAGGAGATGTAATTTTCATAGCATCTCTTGATTGAAAAGACAGATCAACAGAACATGTCTGTTTTATCGAGGCCACCCCCTCTCTGGAAGGATCGAACCCCATGTCTGGCTGTACACAGCATCTTTGTAATGGGCTTTAAGTTACACTAAAGGTCATCAGGGTTCTGAGGTGTGAGCAGATCACATCTCATTATTCTTTTCTCCTCCAGTAGTGAAACCAAGCAGGCAAGAGCCTAAGATCGTGCTAATACATTGTGATGCCAAATTCAGGACCAGATATTTTTGATTCACAATTTAATTCTGATTTACTGTTCTGGTAAAATGGAATCTCATGGATCAAATTAGACCAGGGTCCTGTGTGGTACCTTTTATGATTACTTTTTTTTTTTTTTTAACAAGGAGACTGGTTAGTGAAAATAACATTAAAAATAAGTAAATATCTAATCAACAGAACACATCCCCTTTCCAATTCCAAGAATTAGGAGCCCTTTCCAAAAGCACAAGAATGCTTGAATACTCCCTGCTGCTCCATGCAAGAGCTTGTTCTGCTGGAGTCCTGTGTTCCTTCTACCGGTCTGAGGTGTACTCCAGTCCAGGGAGGGGAGCAACAGAGAGTGAGCGCTGGCGAATGGGAGGAAACGAACCACCGCTTCACCCGTAGACAGAGAGTTGCACTGTGTGGAACCTCCTTTTTGAAAGGAAGAGGAAAGTCCATCTTGGAAATTGAAACTCTTTCTAAAAACATACACAAATTGAAAAACTTTATTATGTTTCTGAATCAGTTTGCTAGGGCTCCCTTAACAGATCACCACACACTGGGCACTTACACAGTAGAAATTACTTTTCTCAAGGTCCAAGGCTGGGAAGTCTGAGATCGGGGCCAGCAGGGTTGGTTTCTTCTGGGCCTCTTTCCTCAGTCTGGAGAAGTTATCTTTTCTGTGTCCACACATAGTCTTCCCTCTCTGTGTGTCTGTGTCCCCATCTCCTTTTACAAGGACATTGGTCATATTAGTTCAGGACTCATTCCAGGGACCTCATTTTAACATAATTACCTCTTTAATGAATCCATCTTCATATACAGACACATCTGAGATGCTGTAGGTTAAGATTTCAACATATAGTTTAGGGTCAGGGGGACACAACTCAGCCAGTAACAATTTTAGTCAAAAACTAAAAACTATTTGCTGATGAACAGCTTTCTGTTGTGTTCTTCTCACCTACCTGCACAATGCACAGTGAACAACGTGTCCCTCCACCTGCCTGCACATTGCACAGTGAACGAGGTGTCCCTACACCTACCTGCACATTGCACAGTGAACGAGGTGTCCCTTCCCTTATCTGCACAGTGCACAGTGAACAAGGTGTCCCCCCACTACCTGCACAGTGCACAGTGAACGAGGTGTCCCCCCCACCTGCACAGTGCACAGTGAACGAGGTGTCCCCCCCACCTGCACAGTGCACAGTGAACAATGTGTCCCTCCCCCTGCCTGCACATCGCACAGTGAACGAGGTGTCCCTCCCCCTGCCTGCATGTTGCACAGTGAACGAGGTGTCCCTCCCCTTATCTACACATTGCACAGTGAACAACGTGTCCCTCCCCCTGCCTGCACATTGCACAGTGAACGAGGTGTCCCTCCCCAATCTGCACATTGCACAGTGAACGAGGTGTCCCCCCCTATCTGCACAGTGCACAGTGAACGAGGTGTCCCTCCCCTTACCTGCACAGTGTACAGTGAACAACGTGTCCCTCCCCCTGCCTGCACATTGCACAGTGAACGAGGTGTCCCTCCCCCTGCCTGCACAGTGCACAGTGAACGAGGTGTCCCTCCCCCTACCTGCACATTGCACATGAACGAGGTGTCCCTACCCCTACCTGCATAGTGCACAGTGAACAACGTGTTCCTTCCCCTACCTGCACATTGCACATGAACGAGGTGTCCCTCCCCCTGCCTGCACATTGCACAGTGAACAATGTGTCCCTCCCCCTATCGACACATTGCACAGTGAACGAGGTGTCCTTCCTCCTGCCTGCACTTTGCACAGTGAATGAGGTGTCTCCCCACTACCTGCACAGTGCACAGTAAACGAGGTGTCCCCCCCTGCCTGTACAGTGCACAGTGAACGAGGTGTCCCTCCCCCTACCTGCACAGTGCACAGTGACCGAGGTGTCCTGCCCCTGCCTGTGCATTGCACAGTGATGGTGCGTTCTGTATTAGGTGGAGCGTGTTCAAGAGAGATTCTTCCCAGTGTACCTTGATTCCAAGCCCCTAGAATGTCACATTGGAAAGCAATGGTAATAAAGTATACATTGCCTTTTTCATTTGGAAGGAAATAATGTGATCTGGATAGATTTCAAAATAAAATATTGGACGAAAGGTTTATCTTATATTGTCATGACTTTTGAAAGACACACTAGCTCTCCATGGCTTCATGAAGGATGTCACTATGGAAGTCTCACTGTGCCTTGTTCACCAGTATGGTCACAGATGAGCGTGTTTAATTTCCCCCTTAACACCACCTTTTATAATCCATTTATCTGTTAGTGCTTCCCTTATCTGCATATTTCCTAAGTCAGAAACTTGGAATCTTTTTAATATTTCTCTCCTTTTTGAGATGCATACGGAGGAATCATTACCAAATCCTATCTATAGCTCATTATTCCATAAGATACCATAGGCCCAGCTTTGAAAGTCAGTATTTTAACATCAACTCTTTTTTTGATTTTACATTCCTGTCAAAATTACCCTTTCCCCCCCAAAAAAGTAAAGGACACCTTAGATTGAATAAAGGAAAAGCCAACCCCAAGAAAGTAATAAGAAGAAAAGAAAGCCAATCAGTGTTTGAAATACTGTCTTGCAATGTGAGTCTGATTTTCCTCCACTTAAAATTATGCAATGTTCAATGAAATCCAAATTTGTTAGCCCTTGATCCGAAGCCTTTCCAGGCATCCTTTTGAAGAACCCGCATACCTAAGATCTATTCACTTCCTCTTTGCACTTCATGTGTCATAGTTTGAAAAGCGTGTGACAGGTGACAAACCGGCGTTGCTTTCCGCCAGCACTATGTCTGTAAATGTTTGAGCAGCAGTCCTGGTGGTCAGGGGTCAGGGCTTGATTTGCAGCATTTTCTGGTATCTGTAGCATAAACACTCCCACCGTGACCACTTTTCAGTGACTTACATGAAGTCAACCGGCTTGCCAAATTCTCGAAAAGTTGGTTCTTGTGACACAGGATTCCCAGCTCTAGCATTTCACTGGTTCCTGTCCCCTCAGAGCATTATGTCGTCTTTGAATATGTGGTTTTCTTAACTTACTCTTTCTGTGCCTGAGAAACTCCTATTGATATATTTTTTTTTTTATCCTCACCCGAGGATATTTTTCCACTTTTTGTACAGATAGAGTGGGAGGGAGAGAGAGGAAGGGAGAGAGAGAGAGAGAAACATCGACATGAAGGGACACATCGAGTGGCTGCCACCCACACGACCAACCAGGGCCGGGGACAAACTGCAACCGAAGTATGTGCCCTTAGCGGGAACCGAACCCAGGTCTCTCCGGACCGCAGGCCGACGCTCTAACCGCTGAGCCAAACCGGCCAGGGCCTATTGATCTTTTAAAATACAGCTCAGATGACCTCTCTTAGAACCCCCAGCGCCACCCCGCCTTTCCAGGGGCTCCATCGTTGCCGTGTCAGTTTTGTCCTCACAGTTCATTCTAAAGGTTTTTCTATTGAGTTCATCACATTATTTTATTTCTATACCTTTATCTGTTTTCCAATTAGATTGCTAGTTTTTGATAGCACACTAATGTTACAGATGAGGAAATTGCTGCTTAGAGCCTAAAAGTGTAGGGAAATAAATATAATATCACATTTGTTTATTTTAAAATAGCCTAGTATTTAAAAGAATGAATATTCTCGTAGGGATGGGAAACCGTTTTTCTGCCAAGGGCCATTGGATATTTATAATATCAATTGAGGGCCTTACCAAATTATCGACTTAAGAATTAGCCTGCTGTATTTGGTCAGGCTAGTTTGGTGAGGTGTGTAAAGCTAGCCGGAATTGATTTCGCTGGCCTTACCTACTCACCCTGCGTAGGTGTCTTGCTGGAGTGAAATAAGTTCACAGTTTCAAATAAAATAGAGCATACAATTTTTAAAATGCACATCCTTCAAAAGTTTATCATGATGCCTCTAACATTTCCTTTTTAATCCTCAAATTTGAACACTTAAACCAGATTTCAATTTTTTTTTTTTAGTTGTAAGCACTTCATAGTGTTGGTCGCATCAATTCAATCTGTGGCCACCTGGTCTCTGCTTGTGTTCCTTTAGCCTTTGCACGAGAGACTCCTTCCCTTTGACCGTCCAGTCCTGCGTCATGCCGAAAGACTGTGAGACTTCCCAGTGGTCCTCCTGGGGTCCCTGCTCCAAGACGTGTCGCTCAGGGAGCCTGTCACCAGGGTTCAGGAGCAGGAGCCGGAACGTGAAGCACGTTGCTGTTGGAGGAGGAAAGGGGTGCCCTGAACTCCTGGAGAAGCAGGCCTGCATCGCGGAAGGAGGACTCCTGCAGCCTTGTCCCAGGTACTGTGAGTTCTGAGGAATCGCTTGCCGTATAACTTCATTTTAAGTGACACTTGAATGTTAGCAATAACAGCAGTAGCGACCCCTGTTGGTTGAGTCTTGACTCAGTGCCGAAGTCCATACTAGGCAGGATAGCAACGTAGTTTAAGAGCCTGGGCTTTGGTATTGATTCTCTGGGCTCTAATCCTGTTTATGCGACTCACTAGTTATGTGAATTTTAGCAAGTGACTATATTCTAGTGTCTAGTTTAGACATCTACCAGCAGTAATTCATTCATCACCTGGCACATAATAAATGTTCAATGACCATCAGTTATCATTGCCTCGCATGTTATACCGAATACTTTTAAAACCTAAGAAACCATTCATAGCCCTGGCTGCTTGGGCTCAGCGGTTAGAGTATTGGCCTGTGGACCTGAGTCCTGGGTTTAGTTCCTGCTAAAGGCACGTACCTCAGTTGCAGTTTGTCCCCGGCCCTGGTTGCGGTTGTGTGGGTGCAACCACTCGATGTGTCCTTTTCACGTAGATGTTTCTCTCCCTCTCTCCCTCCCACTCTATCTGAAGATAAATGCAAAAAAAACAAACAAAAAACCCTTCATAGTACCTTCACTTTGCAAGTTAGGTCACAACCGCCCAGACAGATGAAATGATCCTTGAGGTTGTATCAATAATGAGTGGGAGCACCCTTTTGTTATCCAGTCCTGCCTCCAGATTTAACTGCCGCTCCGGGAGCCAGAGAATGTTGGACAAAAGGCTATCATAGACTAGTAGCTCTCTTTTCACATCTTGATCTTGGTTTTATTTTTTCTGGCTGTACAGCCCTGGGGCAAACCCTCCAGTGTATGTTCCTTTGTGGTGGTGGCTCATGAAGGGCCCAGTCTGATCGTGAGAGAAGTTATTCTGGCTGCTTGTTCAGAGTCTGTTGTGGATGGGACTACAGTAACTCCTGTTAGTCTGCTACCCTGACGCTTATTTGTTAAATCTGCAGCTATTTTAGATAGACCTTTTCTATAGTTACTAAGATTTGAAAATCATTTTCCCAGCAAGAAAATGAAATGAGCCAAAAAATAGCTTCTTGTAGAAATAAATCATCTGTGGATATGGGAAGGGTCGTGGGTTACAAACTCAAAAAAAAAAAAATGTTTTGATGGGCCTGGCTATTTCTTAAACCTGAAATGATGTGTGTATTTGGTGGTAGGGATGGATAGAGGGTCAGTTTCTCTTGTCAGATTCTTAGCCACTAACTTCCTCTACCTCGTCATTGACATCAGGGTAGGCTCAGCATGCTCTTCACATACTGATTGCTCATCTAAGATGACCCCTTGCATTCTTATCATTTACCTCGAAAGCAGACATGGTAGGTGCAGTTCATGGTCCTGGACAGATTAAGATATTACCTCACAGAATTTCCCCTCTTTGTGTCAAGTGGATGTCTAGTCTTTCAAATCACTAGTTTGGGGAAAAGCATGGTATTGGAAAGAACATGAAATGTGGCATCTCTGTGCCTCTTGAATATGGAGGGACCTGGATTAAAACTGAATCATCATCACTTATTAACTCTGTGTCCTTGGACAAGCCATACAATTTCTCTAAGACATTTAAATCTTCAATAAAATATGTCTAGTTATGCTGTCTGTGTTGAAGGTTAAAAGCTACATACCAGGTATGTAAAATGTAATTCCCGGTGTTCAGCATGTAGGAGGCACCATTGCAATTTGTTAGTGTTCTTATTTCCTTCAGAAAGAGAACCTCTCTTTTCCATATACGGCACACTATAGTAATTTTATTGGGTGTAAACTTATTTCTTCTGGGTAATTTGGATACCTTTGTTCCCTATGGATGAAAAATTCAGAAAGGTCCTCAATGGTAAACTGCCAGGAATAGAATCTGGGTTTAATGTTGAGCTCGATACTGGTACCTTTTTTCTTCATCCCTTTCCTGGAAATGCTAGTGATATCTTCCAGGTATTTTGAACAGTGTGTTGATTTATAGACATCACTCCATTTTCTTCTTCTTTTCTTTGTTAGTAACTATTACAATTCTCTTGGAAGTCAGGGTGGTGCCTTCTCATTGAGGCCAAGGAAGTTGACTTGCATATACATTTGTTAAGTAATGACTACATTTACTGAGGACCTACAGAGTGCCAATAGCTATATCAGAGATTTTATAAAGATTGTTTAGAATAATGTAGAGTTTATCATCCAACAGGGAAGTTTTGAGAGTAAAAGGTATATGAATTGGTATTGTTCAGATTCAAATTGAGGTCATTTGGCTCCAAAGTCAGTATTCTTTCTATTAAATCACAGATATGGGTATGTATATACATAAAGATGTATTACACGTATCATTTTTTCCCTAACAAAATGGGAATGCCAATTATTCACGACGTACCCAAGAGAAATTTCTGTACTGATCTTCATTTCATTGTACCTTAACATCTGAAAATAGAGGAAGAGGCATTTCATAGGTGATGTACCTGGCCCTCTAGTTCTGTTATTTGATGACGTTACTTAGCTTGACATTTTTATTTTTATTTATTTATTTTAACTTAGAAGAGACCTTTTTCATTGATTTTTAGAGAGAGAGTTTGTTGTTCCACTTATTTATATATTCATTTGTTGATTCTTGTTCGTGCCCTGTCTGGGGATTGAACCTGTGACCTTGGTATATCAGGACATGTTCTAACCAACTGAGCTATCAGGCCAGGGTGAGCTTGACATTTTTTAAAAAACCTTTTTAAATAGTGAATTTGCAGGAAATAGAATCTTGGAAAATTCACCGACTACCAATCAGTGTGTCTAGGGAGAATGATGTGTTAATTAATGATTCCACTGTGTGGTTAAAAGGACAAGGCATAAATAACAACAAAGTTAACGTTGGCTGACCTTCTTATTTGTCTGCCGTCTGAGCTGTGGCCTCTGCTGCAGGAAAGCATCAAAGCTATGTCCTAACTTTTGTTTCTAGTTTGACACTGGTGATTACAATTCATTGTGAACAAGGGGAATGGAAACACTACCTTATTAGGGAACAAAAATGCCCATTTTTCCTTCCCAGTATTTATGAGCAATTCATATGCATCAAGCAATTTCATTCATCACCTTTCTCACCAGCAGGAAAATGTGCATTTTTTATGACTTTTCGTAGTGTTTTTTAAAACTGTCTTAGGGAGAGATGACGGCAGGCAGGACCAGAGGGAGGGTGAGTGTGAGAGAGAGTGAGCGAGTGCGAGTGGACGCGGAGGTGGACGACCAAACCCGAGCAGTGCAGAGCCGTGGAGCAGAAGGTTCCTGTGCTGTGGACGGAGCAGCCGGCTATCACGGTAAGCGGCCCTTCAGGGTGCTTCTTCCTGTGCTGCAGGGAGGTCCCACTATTTTGGAAGATACTGGGTCTTCCCTGGGAGGAGGCAGTGGGAGCGGCTAGGGTCCAGCAACCTGAGCCCACCAGCACACCTGGTACCATCGGACCAGTGGACACCCTGTCAACACAGACCAGTGCACAGTAGTGGAGCTCCCAAGGTGCTGGTCACAGAAGCCGCAGACAGCCTGGAACCCAGCACCATCCCCCACAGTAGCAGCCTGATCAGAGTCGAGATATACCCCCAGCAACAGAAGCTGGGGAGCAGAAATCCATCCCCAGGCAACAGAAGCACAGACCAGCAGATGAAAACCATCTCCAAAAACTACAGCAAAAGCTGAGCGGGAGTTGAGCCCCATGGGGCAGCAGCACTCCCCAGCTACCAGCGGTGGGACCTGGGGCTCCACAGAGGCCTGTGAAGTCCAGTAGCTCACAAGTGCAGTGGGAAGCCCGAGCCCAAGAGAGACTGGGGCGATCCAGCTGCCCACCCTTGGGAACTGCAGGGTACAGGGGCACCAGAGAGGCCTGTGCCACCCAGGAGGGACTGTGCGATCCAGTTATCCATGGGACCTGTGGGGTGCCGAAGCACCAGAGAGGCCTGCAAGACCCAGCAGAAACTGTGCCATCTAGTTTCCCAAGGGACCTGCGGGGTGCTAAAGCACCGGAGAGAACTGTGCAACCCAGCAGGATTTGCATGATCTAGTTACCCATTGGCCTGTAGGTTGATGAAGCACCAGAGAGGTCTGTGCAACCCAGCAGCACATAACATAGGCATAGAGCCAGGTCCCATGAGGGACTGTGCGATCCAGGACTGGCAGGGTGTGGGGGCACCAGAAAGGCCTATGTGACCCAGCTGCATACAAGATAGGCTTAGAGGACATAAAAAAGGAGGCAGAGTGAATAGAAGCCACGCAGATGATCTCCCAGGACCAAATGGGAATTACAACTAAAATAAAGACAAATCCTCAGAAAAAAGGCAACAGAAGAGCAGCAGGACAGAACCATATAACCAGGGACACTGGCAGAACACCAGGGCTACATTTTAAGTCACTGAGTAACTGAGACTACTAGCCACCAGGAAAAAGCTAGAGGATTACTGACCCTTTCCTGGGCTTCCAAATCTACCCAGGAAAGTAAGACTTGACAGTGGTGTTTAACGTGGGCCCACCCAGGCTCATCTGAACCCAGTAGAGGGAGCCACAAACAGCAGAACACCAATACCTACAGGAAAATTTGGCAGGCTCCAAAGCCCACAGTGATAGCCAAAATGGTGAAACACAGAAACAAAAGCCAAATGAAAGAACAAGAGACCTCTACTGAAGATGAGATAAATGTGGAGCAGTTAAGCAAGTTAACAGAACTAGAATTCAGAGCCATGATCTTGAGGAAGCTCAAAAGCATGTGTAAGGACATGAGCACCATGAGTAAAGACATAGAAATGTTGAAAATCAACTAGTTGGAAATTAAAAACCACCAAGAATTGAAGAATGACATATCAGAAATAAAGAACACATTGGAAGGACTAAACAGCAGAGTAGAGGAAGCTGAGGACCGGATCAGTGAATTAGAAGACAGGGTAGAAAAAATCAACCAATCAGGAAAAAATGATTAAAAAACAGGAAGATAGCTTAAGAGAGCTACGGGAAA